GCATCCATCTCTTTTCACAGAGCTTTCTAAAAATAACTCAAATAGATACTCGCTACCTTGGTCAAAACTAAAAGCACAAAAGCTCTTATCTAATTGATCTCGACCTCATATGTGCAATGTCAAAAAATATCTCAAAACTTTTGACTTATGGAAGATCAAATAGTCTTGACTCAGATGCGTATCATAATCTATAAATGTGTCGAGATTGAGGCTTAGCTATCATATCCTCACACATATCTAGTCGCAAATATCATAGTGGACTAAATGCGCCAATACAAATGACCTTCTATGGCTTTCCTACTTACTTGTGCACAATCATCGCAAACAAAGTTACACATTCACATGAGAGCAGGATGTCATAAATGAGTGGGCTTGAGAAGGCCTACTCAAATTATCGTGTCATCATCTCATTTAATGTGATTAAGTATAATTAAGCCACCGGTTTATGACCAATGTCATAAACTAATTCCAATCATCTTAATGTGTGAGTTCTTGAAGACAAGTTTAAAAGGTTTAGGCCCAACTAGGTAATGACTCACGACTAATTCATATTCACTAGATCATAAAAGGATGTCATGGAGATATCAAGTGCGCCTAAGTCGCAAATTTAACTAGTAAGTGCTAATCCCCAGCACCTTCAAGTCAATTTTATTCTCCATACACTTTACTGCATCTAGTTGAAAGATGACGATACTCTTCTTGCCATCTCTATTTCTCGCTTCATAGTTACTTGCAATTAATTCTACTATCCACTAGAAGGAGAGAATAAGCTATCAATCTATGACAGCTCCTGAAGTAACTTAAGCGCGAATTAGGTTGAAGAGTCTAATTCAACACAATGCTCTCACAAGCGATGCGTCAAATTCTTAGAGTCATAACAACCTTGTCGGCCTTGACCTTTTTATTATTATGCTGCAACGTTTGCGCTTAGTGGTAAACGTTATTCAAAAACGTTACCCTAGCTAAGGAATCATACAAAGAAGTCCTTCTTCATGTCTCATACTCAAGTGTGGAAACAGTAAGTGTTGAGACTTAGACAAGTTGGCAATGCTAATAGATTTTGCAGCCACTAAGCGCTAATCTTTTCACTTCATGTGATCTTTCAACGCACACTATTATAGTGCATGAAATTTTGCTCCATCCACTCCCAATAATTGGGTAGAGAGCAAAACACTGCTCATATTGACTACTCGTCTTACACTTAATGACTAATTTATTTAAGCTCGCATTTCTTGGATGACGTGACTCTTGAATGTTACTTCATCCAATGATGTAACATTATTTACAAGTCAAATTACAAAGTCAATCCGCGCAGCTCAATAGTCAAGATCATATACAGATCTATTGAGGGCTTACTAATTTCATAACTCCAAAACTCGCCAACCAAAACTACGTAGCGTGCTGCTAACCATAGCGCACACATTAGTTTTTATTATGCCAAACAAGGCAACAAAATCACGGCGACTTTGAGTCATGTTTCTTTACTTTGGCTCAATTAAGACTTGACCTAAAGTTTCCAAGATTTTTGCTCATCTAAAGAATGGGATTACATTGTTCACATTTGAACATCTTTACTAAGTCTAGGTCAACCAATTAACTTCCATAAGCTAAGTTAATTTAGAAAGAAATTCGCATTGGGATTAATTTGATTAGCATAATATAATTTTGCCACAAAAATCTAAATTAAATAGTGACAATATTACACAAGTCGCAAGATCGAAAATTCTCTATGCTCGTAATCATCTCTTGCGCCATAGGTGACAATTATCAAAAATTCAATTTAATTTATGCGCAAAATATTGATTTTCGGGAGTAAATCTACAAAGATTTCTCTCAACCGAACCACCTCCCACTAACTATGGCATGTTTAAAAGCATGATAAAATATTCTAATTCCATACAATAGCATCATAATGTAGATTCACAATCAACTCATGCTATGTTACATTTAATAACGGAATTAAAATAAAAAATAATTAATCATGTTATTCTAATTACAACATATTAGAAATTCTAGGCAAAAAATAACAATATGCTGTATTTAATATTCAGATTATGCCATAACAGAAAGTATATCACTTCTGAATTTTTTTGGAATTTTTCTGAAATTTTCTGGAATTCTAAATAACTAATAAACACACATTAAATTAGAAATAAAAAATTCCAGAATTTGATAAACTGAAAAAATTATTCCAATAAATAGTAAAATATTTCAGAAGTCTACAATAAAAAATTCAACCCCAGAAAATAATTTATGCAATACCAGAAGCATTTTAAAGCATAAATAATGAATTATAATCACAGGAAAAATACTTTTTATTTTCATAAAATTTTCAAAATTTTACAAAAGATAGAAAATATAATTCTGAGTCTAACGGTACTAACCACGCTTAAAACAAAACTATAACGAATTAATTATGACCATTTAACGTAATTCAGAATTAAAAAAGAACATACAGAGCCTTAGAACCAAGCCAGCTGGGAAAAACGGCTCGGCTCGCGCCGCTCAACTCAGCGCAACTCGGCGGGAGGCGGCTCAACGGCGGCGCGGCGCATGGCGCACGCGTGGCTACGCACGTGGCGTAGCGCGAAGCGGCGCGGCTAACGGGTGGGTGTGAAAGGCGCGGACAGCGCGCGTGGAGCACGTGGAAAGAGCGCCTAGCGCGTGGAAGCGCCCGTGGTGGCGCGTCGAAGCGCGTGGAACCGCTGGGCGGCGTTATATAGCGCGTGAGGCACACGCGCCGCCTTCCACGGTGTTTTCTGGTATAATTTTGGTACTGCCGGACTCCACTTTTCACAATAAATATATTTATAGTCTAAAAAATGACATTTAATGGACATAAAAATGAGATGTATCACATTATAAAGTAACGCAACGGATAAAAATAATTCGGATCATACCTTAATGACACAACCTCGTGGGTAAATCACGTGCTTCCAAAATCTGATCAGTCAACGAACCCAGCAGTGGAGTGATACTACAAAATGAGTATCACCTACACAAGTCACAGTGCAAAATGGCTTGATCGTTGTTTTATGGGAGAGAGTCAGAGAGAGTATGGAAAAAATGGTTATGGGTAAAAATCATATAACGTATATCTGATATACGTATCTCTTTAGATTAACCATATAATCTGATATATAACAAATATCTATCTATCTATCTATCTATCTATTTATCCATATCTATTGATATGATAGATATAGATATCCTGAATGGTTATCCAAATAAGTTTGAATTCAAATTCAAACTTACATGGATAAGGTTCAAAAGGTTCAGGTTCAAAAGATTCTAAGGGTCATGTCACATGGGCGTCCAATTTCTAACACAATGGTTTAATGAAATTCACAAATAATCCATTTCTAATATTACTTTACTAGTATAATATACGTATTATGTATGGACAAATTTACAAACGTTTGTAGATTTTTGCTACTGTGTTCAAATTTTAATAAAATATTTTAATTTTTTACATAAATATTTTTCTTAACCAGTGTTAAAAAGTAAATATTTAAATTACCGAGATGGGTTCAAAATGGTAAAAAATAAATGTTTAAATTACCGAAATGGCCCACCAAGCAGCGGCAAATGCAGGAATTGTGCCTAAGAGGGGCCAGCTTATATATTTTAAAAAAAATTCATAACAAAATTCTTATGAAATTGTGCACAAGGGTCAAGCTATATAATTACAAAAATTGATAACAAAATTCTAATTATTTTACTTAATGAAGTTTGTTATCACATTAGAAACTACATCTTAATAATTGCTTCTATAAAAAATTGATAAGTGGCAAATATATTTATACATGTATTTTAAAAAACACTAAGGCAGTATTCAATGAAAATGAAATAAAATGAAAATTTCGTTACAATGTTCATTCTCACATTTAGCTTAATAAAATAATAAAGAAAAATATATTATAAACAAAATTATCATTCATTATTGTAAGTAAATGGTCATTTCCTAAGGAATGTTTGTTCCACATTTATTTCAATAAATCAAATATTACCTAACATAAATATAATGACCACGATACTTAAACCAATCACAATTAATTCAAATACCATTTAACAAATACCTATTACCACTAACAAAAAAGCTTTCCATTTGAAGACTTTAACAAAGATCATTATTCAGACTCAAAAATTAGACTAACTTTCTAGACCGGTGATGTGTTAAGAAGATATAACTAGATTTAGAAAATAGGTTTAAAAAGTGGACTCGTATATATCATTTTCCTTAGCGAAATATATAAGGAGGCATATTAGTTTATGAATTGCATCAAAAGGTGGAGGCATCTTATTGACATTTGGGAGGAATTTGTTGGTGCTAGGAGAGTAGATGCCACCTGATACTTTTTTCTATTGTAATTGAATTTGATAGTAGGTCTTATTACATTTATGTTAGGTGTTTAGGATATAGTAAGGAATATATGTATTTGTAATTGGTGAAATGTAATACTTGACAATGCCACGTGTATCCGCCTAACGTACAACATTTTCTCAACATTTGGACATACAAAACAAAATTGTGAAGTATTCTATGGGACTTTTGGAAAAACGGGGGCAATGATCCCTTCCGCCACCCTTGCATCCATTGATGTCCCCAAATCCAAATACTCTCTTCAGTTGAGATAATGAACTTAACTTGAAAGAATCTAAACTTTTGATCTCTTTATTTGTTTGTTGAATAGATAATAAAATTTGAAACCGCAATGAATGTCACACCATGAATTTTTGTTGTTACTCATTCACTCCGTTACATAAAAAAGAAAAAAAAGGAAAAAGCAGAGGCTATATTTATCTACCCACTCACTTGCCCTCAAGTTTTGCTTCAAAACCAAAACATTGTGATTGACCTAGTCACATAAACCCTCATTCAATGCAAAGCCAAACACCTATGAAACCCTAAAATAAAGCACACCCACAAAATTCAAAACCATGGAAAATTATTCCAAAAACAACCTTAATCAATCCTGTATATATATCGCCCCTAAGCCAACATTCTTCTTCAGGATTTCACAATAATATTAACCTTTGACAACAAAACACATCTCCAAGGCAGTTTTTCGGTGACAGTTCTCTTTTTTTGAGACTTTTCACCGATTAAGTCATGGCCATGGACATGAAGAAGGTGACCTGTGCCGTCCTCGTTGCCGCTGCCACAGTGAGCTCGGCTATGGCCGTTGAGGCTCCAGCCCAGGCACCAACTAGTGGTGCACAAGCAGCTTTGCCGGCTGTTGGGGCTTTGGTCGGGGCATCACTAGTATCCTTTTTCGCCTTCTTTTTGCATTAATAAACTCTCCTGGAAGGATTAGACATGAGGATGGGAAGGGGGGAAAAGAAGAAAAATAAAGAAGAGAGAAGTATGATGGAAAGAAGAATGGATTCATACAGATAATTAATCAGCTGGTGCTTAATCTTGATGTTGTATTGAAGTTTCATTGTACTTTTATTATCTTATATTGATGTTCTGTGACACAATGCAATGAAGGAAGCCTTTTATATATCCATTACTCCTTTTTATTTTTTTAATTTTTTTTCCAGCATTACTCTAATAATAAATGTTTATATAATAACTAAACGAATCTAACAAATTTTTTTTATTTTATTAGGTCTGGCTTCCCTCCAGTCCCAGATCGGATTGGAGGGTATTATTGGGCCTGTGAAGGCCCACCACAGGTCCCATTTTGATAATTCGAACTATTTAATGTGTAGAATTCATTAAGTACTATATGCCTGTAAAAAATTACGTTAATTAGATATCGATAACTATTTTATTGAATCAGATTTCTGTCAATTATTTATTTTTTCACTGTCCATTTTTTTATACAAAACTGATTTGATCACGTACCTATCGATATCTGATTAACGTGATTGTTTACGAGCACACAATACTCGACGAGTTCTACGTATTGAACGGTTCGGATTATCAAAACGAAATCCATGATAAATCCCACAGGCCTAACAGTACTCTCCAATCTGATTTGAGATGGGAGGAAAACCAATCTCATTTTGTTATATTCATTTTAAACTACCAAAGTTTTATAATTGCTCATCACATTTAATTTGTAAGAAGTATTAATTTTTATAATATTTACTCAAAAATATTAAGGTAAATTACATTGACATTCCTTCAAATTTGTACTTAATGAAAATTTTTCCTTAACGTTTGTAAAATTACGCTGTCCTCCTCAACCTTAATGGTTTCATTACACATTGCTCCGTACAGTTAGTTGACTAAACAATTTGGATGATGTCGACAATAGTTTTTTAGAAAATGCCAATTTTGCCCTTCAAAATATTGGACCAAAAATTGCGTCATCTGATCTCTTTCTCTTTCGCATCCCTTTGCAAATAAAAGGTATCCACTGACGAACTTGGAAGAACACCAGTACCAAATAAAAGGCAAGATCCTATACCAAATCAATGCCCACAAAGACAAAATAAATAATAAATAATAAAAATAAGATCACCAGTATACCCGCCAAATAAAGTCAAACCCCAACTCAAATCCACCAGTGTATATATAGAGAGATAATGACTGGAACAACCCAGTTCAAAAAAAAAAAAAAAAAAAAAAATCTATTACAATGGCACAGCGGATCGGACAGAGAGATCACAAAGAGGTGTTGCACCACCGGAGCTACAGGTGCAGCGCAACTCCACCATCGCTGTTGTACAACTCTACTGTTGCTGATGCTAGTGATGTTGCGTTACACCATCGCCGTTGGACTTGATTTCATGGGGTTGATTTGGGTTTGATTTAGTGGCGATGGGAGAAGAAAATGGCGGATCACAATGGGGGTGGTGGTGGCGATTTGGGTTGGAGTAAGGATGGTGACAGAGGTGGGGTAGTGTTGTGGCAATGGTTTGTCCTAGCGCAATACCCAAACCCAACTTCAGCCCTACACCCCCTCTTGGTCTATCCATTATTCTCTCTCTACATCTCTTCCATGGCTCTCTCTCGTCACTTCTTTCTGTTTTCTTTCATTTCATCTTCACTTTGTCTTTTGATTGTGCCTCCGAATATGTGTCATCATCTCAAATTCCATCAACAGTGTTTCACTCTAGTGCTATGGTCGTGGCCACGGTGATGGTGGTGGAAGGTTGTGAAGATAAGATGTGAGTTACCAGTTGAGGTTATCTGTTGGGTAAGGTGAGAGTGGAAGGGAAAGAACAGAGGGTAATATAGTAAATTCATAGATTTCAATAGAGGGTTTTATAAGTGCAAACTTCATAATTTATCCTAAAAAATTATTGTTCTGGGACTTATTAGAATAAGTCGATTGTGCATCTAGGGTCTGCAAAACAAGAAAATAAAATCATTTTCGTCAATCAAATTTGACTACATGTCTTCACATAAACGTTGATTTTTTTTTTTTATTTTAAAGAAAAACTCTTTGAAATTAATGAATAAAGAGATAATTATCAAATAAGTAAATTTTTGTGAAGACTCTCTCTCATCCGCGTTAGATAGGACTGATCCCAACTGATTTCTGCATACGCAACTCGAGCAAAAAGTGGAGTTTTATCAGATTGAGGCCTAAAATCCTGAAGAATTTCTTGCCTAAGTCTTCGATATCAAGGCAATTATTTATGACGAAACTCCATTATTTCTATCACACTTGGAACTTAGAGATTCAAGTAAAAGAATTCAATGCCACACTATCCAAATTTATTCTTCTACCAAATTGAATATCTTGCAGTTTGATTTGGTACAAGTCGTCAAGCCCTCACCTCAGCACCCTACAAATCGGTTATCTTCTTCATACATATTGAAGAAGATTTCACGGTTCAATTTAGAGCTCGTTTGGGAGGTGAGTGGACTTTTTAGTCTTTTTAGTTATTTTAGTCTGGGACTAAAAAGTTTGGTTTGAGAATGACTTTTGACTTTTTTGGTTTTTTTAACTTTTTTGTAAAAGAAAAAATGTAATGATTGTGGATTGGATGTGATGTTTTGTTTTATTAGGCTAAAAAATTTATTTTGTTTTTTGTAATTATTTTAGCCAAAAAAAGCCTCCAAACTAACTTCTCAAGCGGAGGCTTAAAAAGAGTAACATTATCAACCCATAAATTTTATCTCGAATTTTGCTTAGATACATCAATTTATGACTTGGATTTATGTATGGACTCCACACTAATAACAATCAAATATCCACAACACACCACACTACCTAGAAAATTCTGCATAGTTTAATCTTCGATGATAGAGTTTTTCATTTAAAAATACATTATTATGCCCTTGAATCAGCTCGTTTAAAGAGAAGAATATGATGTTCATTCATTTGTAAACAAGTACCTTAAAGATTATATATACTGGTGTTATTTCAAATTAATAAATTTAAAATTGTCATTCCATTTTTATGTTTTATTTCTTTGCAGATAAGAAAATTTGTGTCGAAACTGTTATTGAGAAGCCACTAAAAAATCTTAGTTGACCCTGTTTCACATGGGTTGGGTCAGACCGAACTTGTTGAGCTCTCTTTTAAATAGTTATTGTGGCATCCTTTAGTGAAGCCCTCACTTGGGGGTAACAGTACCTTGACCCTTTGCTATAAGACCCTCGCTTGGGGAAAACCATACCTCGGCCCTTCATTTATAAGGCTCTCGTTCGGAGGAGATAATACTGTGGCCCTTTGTTATATGTGCACAGAGATCTCTGATGTTGACCCAAGTGGTCCCTTTGCTGACCTATATGGTCCCTTTGTTAGACCCATGTAGTCTCTTTAACAATGCCTTTGGGCCCTTTGATTTGCGTTATTTGGATATACCACATATGAGTATGATTTGTGAACTCTGATATGATAAGTACTTAATTATGTTTTGTTTCGAAACTCATAAGATATGATTTTGTATTATGATAGACATTATTTATTTAACCTCTTTATACTGATATCACTCACTGGGTTTTAGCTCACCCCCTTCTTCTATATATATGTAGGTGAGCAAATAGAGCGTCAAGTCTAGACCAACCTCGAGAGGTCACCTTTTGTGCAGCCGCTTTGAAGTGCCTTTGCGATGGGGTGTGCTTGGATTCAAGGGGAGCCAGGCTGTGTCAACCTTTAGTTTTGTTTTTCTTTTGTTATTTGAAAGCTTGATGTGCATGAATGTTTGTATGAATGTTATGGATGTGGTGATGTATCTATATACTTGTAGCTATGTACAAACGCTAAAGTTTTTAAATGTCATGAAATTTGCATATATGCACCGCTCGATGGATACAATTATGTTTTAATATTGCTTATGCAGTGCCCCGTTTATATTATTAATTATCTATTTTGTCTTTGAGGCTGAGTAATCTAGGATTACTGGTTGGTCAAGGCCTAAACCTCTAGGGACGGGTCCGGGTCGTGACACAAATAGTACTAGTCGTGCCTCTGGATGATGTTGCTGCCGTTGGAAGATGGATATTAGGTACATTAGAAGAAGAATCAACAGATTCATGTTGTGTATCTGCATCAATATTGACATAACCATTAGGAATATTATGATCAATAGTAATGTATGTAAAATAATATATATTAACTAATAATTAATTAAAATAATGAGTAAACAATAATAAGTAATATATGTTAAGAAATAATTAATGTTAAAAAATGAGTAACTAATAAATAATGATTCAAATAATTAAGTTACCGACTGGCAAATGTGATAGAAAAATTAGTTTGTTTTGATAAAAGTTTTTTTCTTAAACAATTGCAATTCCTACTTAGGGATGAGACTTCAAAATTAATTGAGAGAGAATAAGAGTTTGAGAGAGAGATTTGTTTGTGAGAAATAAAAAGGGAGAGGGTGGTATTTATCGGACTTGGGGGAGAAGAAGGGCTTAATTATTATAAAAAAAAAAAAATTTGGGCCGTTGGTGTGAATAACAGTCAAATTTTTGACTGTTTCAAAATTTTAAAAATTTTGACTGTTGGAAGGAGGGAGCCATTGGGGGGGTGGTCGAGTGGGGTGGAGGGAAAATTCGGGCTGGGTCGGACAGAACCACAAGCCGAGCTCACGGGCCAAATTGGGCTCCAAAACACACGACTCAAGGTCTCGAGCTAAGCTCGGGATCAGGTCTACCTGGGCCGCTGGCGGGCTTTGGATGGGTCGCGGGCTTACTGGCCAAATTTACACCCCTACCTATTGCCAATTGATGAACTTGAATGTACGCACATCAACCATGATTCATACAAATTCTTAAAGAGTAATGTATATAAACAAAAAAAATATATAGAAAATTTATGCAAAATTAGGTTATATGAGTTTTGGGCCTATCACTATAAAAATAAGGGAAAATATTAAAAAAGTGAGAAGTTGAAAAAATAATTACAAACTCATGAAAGTACAAGTGATTTATGTATTAGATTGTGCAAATGAGTCTTGTACTTTTATGAATTTGCAATTATTTTTCAAACTTTCTACTTTTTTGATATTTCCCCTAAAAACAATGAACCAATCAAAATTGCTTGAACTTAAAATAAAATATATATAATCATCACATTATTCTAATAGAAAATTTTGT